TTTCATAGACCACGTAAGGAGTTCTGTAAATTCTGTGAACACTTCCTTTCCTACTTAGACTCCAGCATAAGGACTCCATTTGATGAAGCAGGACGCATCACAGCCTTTGGTGTATTCCCACCACCCATCAGTTCTGTTTGTCTCCAGCATCTTGCAAGGGTGTCTCAATTCTGCATGGTATTGACATGGTTCATAATAACAAAAACTCCAGTGGAGTTCACAGCACTGACTCCTCACAAAGTGTCAGCTATTTGATACTTCCAAAACATAAGCAAACTACAGCTCTGATGTATAAATATGCAATGACAGCACTTGATTCCATTACATTTACCAGTTTACATTTAGAGAGCATTGCAACAGATGAGAACATACTTTTAAAACAAACAAACAAAAAGATAAATTCCTGAAACAATGTGATTTTGATCCTTTATAACAACATCATAGGAGAATCTCTATTTTCTAGAAAAGTCCTCTTTTGACCCTGTGATACTGAGTCCAGCAGGTGTAAGGTAACACCTGACAAATTAAATTTCTTTTCCATTTACTCTGGAACAGAAATACTTTCATTTTTTTCTGCATATTTCTCATTAAATTTTGCATCTGAAGAGATCAAGACCAGGAAATTCAGATAATTTGGTCAGGAAATTCCATTCTAATTATTTCACCCAGTACAGAACCTGGAATATAATTACAACTGAGAAAACACACACTTACAAATGTTCAGACAGATCTATTTCAATGAGTTACTACTTTACACAGAAAAACATAAGGTTGTCATAACTGAGCAGTTAAAAAAAACCTACCTTGCTATCATTTGGTGGTTGTTCAGTGAATAACGGAAAAGAGTTTAGAGGGCTCAAGTACAGACATCAGGTAAAAAGGAATTGCATCATTAAAAAACACCAGCCTAGTTAATTGCTGGTAATGGCTACAAATAATAACAGTAGAGAGTACTGAATGACGTAGGTGAGAGGATATTCTCTTTAAGTCGTAATTGCTTAAAATGATCAGTTCAGTCAATTTGAACTTATTTGGGACAGACTGTACTGCTCCTTCCAGGGCGACATAAACACTTGGCTAAAGCTGTCAGTGAGAGCCTTCCATGCGTTCTGCATCCTACAAATGGTGGCAGAAGGGTGGTGGAAGGAAGGGGAAAACAGAACCTGTGTGAACCAATACTGCAAGACCCTCAAACCATTGGTTCCTCTGGCTGACTGTAATGGGGGAAAAAAGCATCAGAAAATGTCAAGACTGAATCTAGCTTCTCTGGGTAGCAGCTGGCCACCAGATGTGATACCCTGAGATCTCCAGTGGACTCAAATCTTCCTGCCACAGTGGATTTCCGGAGCTCTTTTGGAATGTATTTCAAAGGGAACACAGACACTTACCAGCACGGAACACCTGCATCACTTATAAAATTTACCCCTGTTTCATGCCAGTTATACTTTCCTACAACATGCACTGGCTGTAGGCACTTTTGTAAGCCACTCAACTCCCTAAAAGCAGTAGATCAGGATTGTGTAGAGAACAGTACTAAATTGTTTTGCCTCTGCTGATCATTTCAAGAGAAGGGCAGGATAAGGAGATTTTGCCGAGTTTCATAAAATTATGCCCACAAAAGGAGGGCTAACAGCAGGAGACCAGAGCCACACCATTCTTTTCAGAGAAACTGAATAGACATTCAACCAGAACAGACTCATTACAACTGGTGCAACCATTTTAATCCTATCCGTCCCCTCCAGGATGTACTCCTTGCTGCTCTAAAACAGGCAGAAGGATTTTTTTTTTAGAAAGCTCTAACTGCTACCCGAGGAATGAGATACGGGGAGGCAATTCTGCCCCAGGGAGAGCCAGGTGCTTTGCTTTGCTGCTTGCCTCACAAAAGTTGTACCCTGCAATAGAGCACATTTGTATTGGATTAATGTAATCAAAGGCACCCTGCTGTCTGGTCACTGACCTGTCTGTAAACAACAGATGCCATGATGCCATGAGCTTCTATTATATACAATTACCTATTGAGACGTGGCCATTGTAAAAGAAACAAAACCATATACTTCACCTGCTGCTGTTAGTCTATTTTCCAGAAGAACAAAGCCTATAAGCATCTCAACTTTGAGCGCCATTTTCTTCTCCTCATCTGCTTTCACTGCTCCTCGTATCTCCTCCAAATAAGTTTGTGTGCTCTCCCTTACACCTGGAAAAATCTTTGCAGCTGTGTTGGCATGGTGCAACCCTTCTCTGTTGCTTTAGATTCCTCTTATATCCTTCTCCTTTCATTCAACCTTTTTATCTCACGGCTTCCTCTCCTCTGTCTGCACCCGAGATGAAAGATGTCTGCTAGCTGAATGTATCTTCTCTGCCCTGGATCATACTCATTGCAATAGAGACCACAGGTCCAGATTCCCACCTGACGTAAATCAGCACAGGTCTGCTGGGGTGATACCAATCATGAATCACAGAGAAGACGGTCAATCAGGAACACTGTTCTCTGAGTTCCAACGCAAGAATAAGATCAGACAGAACGTGCTACCTGCTAGCTCAAAACCAACAGGAAGCAGCTTTTACACCCTGCGTGGTCCAGCTGTAGAGCTTCTTGCCACAGGACACTGCAAATGGAGCACATGGACACCTTCCCAAAAGAACACCAACACCAATTGGGAGTCATGAAATACAAAGAACTCTCCTCAAGTTCAGACACTCCCTGAGCCTTAAATCATTGGAAACTGGGAACATATTCTGGGAAAACCACTGCATACTCGCTGTTTCATTGTACTCTTCCCTGAGGGCTCCCTGCAAGCTGCTTTAGGGGACAGCACACCAGGATAGATGGAGGTGTCATTTGACCCAGTGAGGGAGCTCTTTATTGACACTAATTCACAGCAGTTGAAGACACAGCATCATGTGTAACGTGTGTGTCTGTATAGGCACATGAGAAGAGTCCATGTTGGCAATATTCTATAGGTGTCACAGCAGGAGAACCTCTACAGAGTATTTGGTGCTCACTAGCAATTAGCTTTTATAGTCCAGTGAACTGGACTGTAGCTGCTGCTACAAGTCAGTAGTTAATACACATTTATCTCTGTTGTTCACCAGCAACTCAGAAGCTACTGGGACATGATATTCGTGCAGATGTTAAAAAAAAATTTTTCATTACAATATCTGGCAATGAAATAGGAGCCAACTGACACCGCCAATGACAAGCTGCTTATACAGCTTGGCTTTGTTTTGATTATCAAACTGAAAGTCTGTATTGCCAAAATAGACAAAAAATGCTTTCCCTTTTTCTTCTAATTTTTGCCAGAAGTCTGATGCAAGTCCCCTACAGAAGAATGACCAAGTTATGTTAGCATCACTCTTTCTGCTTTATTTACAAATGCTTTCATGAACACCTATATACACTGAGACCAAAGCATACACTGGTTGAGTTAAACTTTATCTGAGTTACTGCTTTATGTCTGAACAGCTTATATTGTATAATACTACAGCAGCAAACTCTTGTGTTAATCATTGAAGAACAGGTCACATACAAATAAAAGTATTTGATGTCATCATCTGGCTCTTGATATAAACAAAACTAAGCACAGAAGCTTACAGTGAACTGGCTTTTGCTAGATGGAGTTCAGTGTTTGCATTAGGAACTTATTTTAGACAGCAATTTTTTGGTGTCCAAAGAGTCCTTGCTTCAGAAACACTTTAGACAACATGACAAAAGCTTATTGTCTTGAGATATTACATAGGAAAGAGCATTAAAGAAAAAAAACCAACATTTCAGAATATGTGAATGTAGACTATTTTGAAAATCCTCGTGAGGAAGAGTTGGTTATTGGAAATGCTTTAAACATAATTTAATCACAGGTTGCCAGGACTGTTTCCATTCCTCATCTTGTCTGTATCAACCAAGCTCCAATTCTTCCAAGACCACCCAAATACAACCAATCTTTGGTCCCATACACCAGATGTGAGTGACTGTTTGTTTTAGACATCTTCTCTGGCGGTCCCTTAAGAGTGACTGGGAATGAGCAATTTGAGACAATAGTAAAATGATGCATTTAGCTACCTGAATTCTTCCGTGAATGAACAGGAGTCTGATCAATTCCTACTTACCACAGCACACTTCTCATTTCAGAATTTACATTGGGGGTTTCATCACTGCCTGGCAGAAAACGTTAATGCTGTCATTAATGCTGAACGTAAAGACTTGGAAGAGATATTTGAAGAGATGCAAACAAGAAGGAACAGATTATTATCAAGCACTGCTGACAGGAAGCCATTGGCACTGGAGATAGTGAGGCTGAATTGATCAGACAGCTAGTATTTGAGAGAGAACATTTCATTAAATAGTGAAAATAAACAGGACCCATGAGCTGTGGATCAGCAGCACCGAGTGACTCAGACTATCAGACAATCCTGACTTGAACCTGTTGAGGATCTTGGCCCAGCGTTTCCTTCTGAGTATTAATCCCAGTTAGAAACGTGTCAATAATCCTCTCCGCTGCTGCCTGGCAGCTGGATAAACAGCCGTGAGAGCCCCATGGAAGTGCTCACAGCTTAATAGCCGTAGCAGATAGATTCGACTTTAACGCTGCTTGCTACAGACTCCGGCTGGCTGAATTACACACGCCGAGCCCCACGCCCTGCAAATCTTTCCTCAGAGCCTGCGGCTCCACGGATGCCATCCACAAAGGCTACGGCAGCTCAGACATTTTACTCCCGCTTCCCTCCCTTCACCCCACCCCGTGCATCCCACGGGCGCCGAACCCACTCCGGGTGGCAGAAGTCACTCCCCGCCTCGGCTGCGGAGGCAACAGGGTGGCACCCGGCGATTTCCCCGAAGTCTGCAGAGCCGCTCTCCTGCCCCCGCGGCGGCGGTGAACTTTCCGCCCGCCTTTCTTTGCGGGGCAGCCCCGCAGCGCAGCCGGGCGTGGGACAGGGCGTGGGCCAGCCCCGGGCAGGGCAGGACCCCCGGCTGCGGGGGGCTGCGGGGCCGCCCGGGTACTCACATGCGTGCAGGGGAGCGGGCGCCGAGCGGCTCAGGGTCTGCTGCCTCCCTCTCCAGCTAAGATGGCTTTCCGGCTCTGCTCCTGCTGCAAGCGGTCTCCTAGTAGTGTAGGCACTGTTGCTGAGATAGGAGGGGTAGGCACCGGCTACTGAGCATGCCTGTGCCTCACATCACAGAGTAGGAAGCAGAGGTACCCCCTCCCCACCCTCATGCCAGGCAGGAGAAAGTCCTGGAGTGACTAACGCAAAGGGAGCCTCTGGCTCCTGCCCGCATCCCGCCTCCTCCCGTGCGGAGCGGGAAACGTCTCGCTGGGGTGTGGTTACCAGAGCTGGGCTCATTCCAGCCAGGAGGCTTGGGGGGAGTGGATTTGGATGAAAACCTTTGTGTGTTTGTGTCACCACCTTCTTTCTACCTTTCCTCTCTAGAAAGAAAGAATGGGGGGGGGGGGGGGGGGGGGGGGGGGGGGGGGGGGGGGGAAAAGGCAATAAAAATACAACAGGCTCTCAACAAAGTGTGATACTTTGTTTGATACCTTCATTCCCCTGGCCCCATCGTGACTCTCAGCATGGAAGTAGTTACAGGAATCCCCCCCTTCTGACCAAAAAAAAACAAACAGAAAGACTTTACAAAACTAACAAGCACAAACCTACATTCCAATGATACCAACCTGAATGTCTGGATTTTTTCTCATCCACATCCGTGTGTTTATTTTCTAGTTTTTCCCAATGTGTTAACTTTCATATGTCTTCCACTTGTGTCCTCTTTCTCCCTCCCCTCCCCCCCTCCCTCCCC